TCAAATAAATAAATAAAATCTTTAAAAAAAAAAAAAAAGGAAATAAAAGGCAAATCATAAATGCTTAGCAAAATAAAATCCCAGAATCTATTTTTTAAATAAAAATCATCCCTGGCCAGACAGGAGAAGCCGCACGACTGTCCCATTTAACTATGTGGAAATACTTCCTATGTTCAATTTTTGGAGGAGTTAAAAAGAGAGACAAAAAAGAAGATAGCTTTCAAAGGTGAAGCACTTGCCGTGTTTAGCCTTTATAAAAATAGTTAGAGTCAAAACCATGAGTCAGGAACAAGTTCTTTTAATATAATGTTAGGCAAGCCATCTAACCTCTGTGTTCTTTTTTCCTCTTTATATAATTAGTGCTTATAAGATAATAAAAGCCACAGGTAAAAGCTCTGAAGATTGAGAAGGCAGAAATGTTCACTCTTGTGTCTGTCATTGCTGTCTTTAGCTAAATAGTCTGAAAAGCTTTCTGCAAAGCTGAATGATTCCGACCACCAAACTCAGTCACGTAGCTGGAATTAAACCACAGGATGAAAACCACACCTGACGAGGGAAGGTAAACCAGGTAAATGATTAAATTGCTTTTTTAATTTGTGGAGACTGTCCGAGATTCCGTGATTACTATGAAGTAGAAATTTGTTAAGCCTCGAAGCATCCGTAAACAACGAGGTAAACAAGTCCTACTGGACTGACCAAATTTGAGGAGAGTCCGACGGGAAGAACAGAGTTGAAGCAACTCTCCCAGTGCGGCGACCAGGGCCAGATTTGCTCTGAAAACACTACGGACCACTACCACCACCCCAGGCAACCAACCCACCCCACAGTGTTGAACCCCACAGTAAGTAAGCAGAAGGAAGTATGGCTGTGTGGAACATTTTTTTTGAAATCAAAGTATTTCCAGAAACAGTTTTTGGTGCTCCTGTTTTGCTTGTGTCCTAAACACAAGCTTAATTTCGGTACCCTCTTGCAGGCTAGTGCACTGAAAAACGGGGTCTTAGAAGGTATTTCTTACCTCCCCGACCCTGAAAAGTCTTAGGAGCAAAACTGGAGTCATCCGGCCACCCTTAATATACTGTTAGCAAAATGAACAAGGATTCATTTTGCAAGAGTCTCTTTTTTAGTAATAAGGTAAGACTCAGCCAAACCTTCTTTTACAATGCACTTTTCTCCAACAAAAATAATTATTCAAACCGAATTTACCTCTGTGGGGAGCAGACATTCTAATCAGACCACCTCTTTACTAAAAATATACCTGAGTCATTCATGCTACTATTCCTCTTGGCATAAGCACTCCGAACCACCTGCTCATAAACCTGAGCGCCAATTGTTCTCATGTTGTCCCGGATCAGAATGCCTTGAGCTTGCATCATGAAGAGGTAGGTGTTCACTGCGGAAAACAGAAGGGGAGGGAAAAAGAGGTGAATTCAGAAACAATCATTAAAGCAAAACAAAACAAACACACATATTTGGGGTTTCTTTCTTTAAAAAAAAAAAAAGAAAAGAAAAGGAAAAAAAACTTTTCAGTTCTAAAACCCCAAAATGCCTTAACTCTATTTTCCATTCTGGGCTCGATGTTTCCAGGTTACCAACATTTCTTGGGTAGCTCAGTAGGACTAGGGGGAATTTCTGTCAATATTCAGCAGTTTTAGAAAAAAAACAAACCCATCATTACAAAAGTTCTATTCCATCAGGTCTTCAAATATCCAATCTGTATTCTATCACTGTGATGATCACAAAACTTTATGGATTGGATTAAAACACTTAAAAAAGATCTCATCTTGCTTTAAGGTGACCTTCTCAACACTCAGTGGCTCTACTCAGAGAAAGGAAATCACTGTCCACTCTGCCTACTAGAAACATTTAGGTCCAGATCTGGTCTTGGCAACCTTTGAAAGTGGTGGACTAGGGCTCCAGCTACCTTTCTTTGGGGGATTTGGGGAGACAAGAAGATAATGAGAGACCGTCATCGGTCTGACTACCCACCCACCTCAGCCCGAAAGCCCAAAGCAATGGGAAAAGAACACGCAACTTGATCCAAGTGTCAACTGAAACATAGTCCCTTCATAATATATACAAATACTGAACTATTACATTGCACACCTGCGACAAATATGTCAACTGTATTTTATTATTATTATTTTTTAAAGATTTTATTTATTTAACAGACAGCGAGAGAGGGAACACAAGCAGGGGGAGCAGGGAGCCCAATGAGGGGCTCGATCCCAGGACCCTGGAATCACGACCTGAGCCGAAGGCTTAACGACTGAGCCATTCAGGCGCCCCTCAACTATGTTTTAATAAAAGCAAAACAAAACAAAAAATTTACTCTTAACAAATAATTATTCAGATTAACCGGTCATCATCATCTCTGGGGAATGATCTCCAATCGTGTTTTTCTGAAGTGTCTCTGAGATGGGAAACTAGGGAGTCACAAAGAGTTAGTACGGTTCCTGTATGCCCCCTTGCAATCTCAAACACCATGCCATTCATTTTCAAGAAATTACAAGGTTTCAAAACACAACTTTTCTTAATTTTTATAATTTTTTTAAAAGATTTTATTTATCTGACAGAGAGAAAGAGAGAGCACAAGTAGGCAGAGCGGCAGGCAGAGGGAGAGAGAGAAGCAGGCTCCCCGCTGAGCAGGGAGCCCGACGTGGGGCTCGATCCCAGGACCCTGGGATCATGACCTGAGCTAAAGGCAGACGCTTAACAGACTGAGCCACCCAGGTGTCCCATCAAAACACAACTTCTTAACCAGCCATTCTAATCTACGCTCTTTTCTCTTCACCACTGTAGAAGAGGGGTGTCCCTCAGGGGTGGCACATTTACATATCCAAACTCCGGTGTGTGCTGGAGATCATCTGAACACTTGGCTGTCGTCCAACCAGGCCCCAGGCAGGTACGCTACCAACCGCCTGGGCCACTCTGCCAGGCTCGATACACGAGGCCTCGGGCTGTCCTGGCTCTTCCACGAGGCATATTTAATTGACACCACTTCATCATTATTATCCACAGTGTCCTGCACACAATAGGCAGTAAATAATGACTAAATGGATGAAGCATAGACGTCAATTTACTTTATTTCAAGCTACTCTGTTTGGTGCTTAAACTGTGACAGGGTTGGGGATGGGGACAGACCAACTGGCACAATTGTCCATGAAAACCCCAGGTGGCCCACATTAAACAGGGACATAAAATCTTGCAAAGGATTTAAATGATCTCTAAGGTATATCCTGAGCCATAAAATAATAAACAAAAAAAAAAATTAATGTCTATAATGCTTTCAGAAATGGTTTCCAAGTAGGCCTTGCACCGACCGACTGGAAGACAACCACACATTAACCTCTGACAGCGGCAGAGAAGAGATCAGATAGAATATTTATTCTCTATGGCCAGAAAAGTTATAGGAAAAGACAGCTTCAAGTTCTTAAAAAAGTGTAACTCTGTGAAGCCTCTGAAAGCAAGAGTCACATCCCAGTTTTTATCTACAGCAGATAGACAGCACAGGTCACAGGAGGTAGGCAGCCTAGAAATATCCCTAAACAGATTTAAACTCCATCCAGTATCAAATTTCTAATGTTTCATGGTATTTTTTTTATCATTTGGGCTATAGAATATGTACATTATACATATTGTATATAACTGCCCTGAAATCTTCCTTCCATCCCCAACATAATACTAAACCAGCTGTCTTCAATAATATGAAAACAATGGGGCGCCTGGGTGGCTCAGTAGGTTAAGCG